TGGTTTGGACAAAACAACAACCCAGTCCTACCAGAAACGGTAAAGTTCCCACTCCTCACCCCCATACATGCATTAAACCTCTGGTCTACTGACAAACGATGGAGAAGGAGATGGCAACCCACTCCAGTGTTCTTGCCCGGAGAACTCCATGGACAGTGGAGCCTGGGGGCTGCAGAGTCGAACACGACGAAGTGACTACACATGCAACAGCTGACAAATAGTCCTCATGAGTCAACACTGGTGGCGAAACAGTAACAAGGCCACAAAAGGTGTCTGCCTCACGTGTTACACAGCCCAAAGTACAATCCAGGGAAGCCGTTCTTACTGCTCCTAGATATCTTAACCTGTTTAATGAACCATCTGAGGTCTGGTAAATGAACTTTATACATTTACTCCATCTGGTGGATATAGATGTGTTTCAGTCACGGCCTCTATGTTTCCCACTGGACCGAAGGCTTCCCCTGCGGGATTCCTCTCAAACTTCATAGTAATTGAAGAGTCCATTCTTACTGGCCACGCACTTCAACAAGTATGTGCTGTTTGTCTGGTTTTACAACACTTTCATTGTACTTGCCACCCTCAATCATCTTGTTTAAACACACCAACATCATTATTAAGACTCAACTGGCAAAATCTGTAGAGACTCTCTAACTATTTCAGCCAAAAGCATTCCATTGATATTTCTAAATCTCAGATCCACCCCTCTGGAATTCATAAACTCGCATCCTTTGGAACAGTCACAGGGTGTCCAATACACTTGACTCCTGCTTCTTTTAATCCACAGCTGATAAAAGCAGAGATACTCCAATATTGCAAAGGCCTAACTGGCACTGTTAAAAGTGACCATGTTTTGGTAGAACAATCTTTCCACAGTGTGCCCTCAGGAAATCAAGACCTTAAGCACACACACTGATTGCAACCTGGAGATTTCATCTTTTGGAAAAGACACCGCCAGAACTCTCTTCAATCTCACTGGAAAGGCCCCTATCAAACACTGCTAACCAACCACTGTGCCACCAAACTCCAAGGAACAGACTCCTGGATTCATGTGAAACCCCTGAAGAAAGTGCAAATTCTGACTGGAATTGTGTGTCATCTGGTGACCTGAAAGCAAAGATATTCCAGAATTGAAGCAGATAACAACTGATGAGACAGCTTTCTATATCAATTCTATATCAATACAATACGTAAAACAATCATATCATAAAAAAGAAGAAAAGGGAACAGAACAATATAAATGTAACATTTCTTTTTTTTCTGGAGTTAAGTCAGTATAAATCAAAAGTAGATTCTGGTAAGTTATGTATGGTAATATACAAACAATTAAATATTATCCAGCCATAGGAAGGAACGGAGTTCTAATACATGCTACACCACAGAAGACTCCTGAAAACATTATGCTAAGTGAAATGAGCCAGAAACAAAATGACAAATATTGTGTGATTCCACTTAAATGAAATACCTAAAAGAGGCAAAGAGACATTAGAGAATACCAGGTCCTGGGAATGAGGAGTTAATGAGTACAGAGTTTCTGTTTGTAGTGATGAAAAAATTGGGGGGATAATGATGATGTCTGCAAAGCCCTGTGAATATGATAATGCCACTAAACTGTACACTTAAAATAGTTAAGATGGCAAAGCTTGTTATACATATTTTACCACAATTTTTTAAAGAGGCATATGGTAAGCCTGAGGGCAACCACTAAAAAAATAGTGAAAAAAATCATTAAAGAAATAAAAAATATCATGTAAGAAAATATTCACTTAATGAAAAAGAAAGCAACAGTAAAAGAATATAAGGACAAAAAAGAGAGGAAACATATATTGTAGAAACCAATACCAAATAAATACATTACAAGAAAGGAAAACTACAGACTAACATCACTCTTGAATATAGATGTAAAACCCTCAAAAAATATTCACAAATCAAATCCAATAATGTATACATAAAAAGAACTATAGGCCATGACCAAGTGGGATTTATTCCAGGTATACAAGGCTAGGCCAATATTCAGAAATCAGTTAATGTAATCTGCCACATCAACAGGCTAAAGAAGAAAAATCATACGATCATATCAATTGATTACAGTAAAAGAACTTGACAAAATTCAACAATGATTCATGTAAAAAAAAAACAAAAAACAAGCCTCAGTAAATGGGGAATAAAAACCATCTATAGAACATATACAATTAACATCAGACTTCAGTGGGAAACTGGATGCTTTCCCCAAGATTGGGACCAAGGCAAACAGGAGTCTCATCACTCCTATTTAATGTCTTAGTAAAACCATTAGCTAGTGCAACTAGACAAGAAAAGGGAAAAGAGAATCTTACTGTGTTACAAATGTATGAAATCACCTAACTGAAGGGGCTGGGAAGAAACGGTGCTAACCCAAGCAACTGTGGAAATGAGTGGAATCTCTATGACTAAAGAGAAAGGAACTGTACCTAAGCACTGGACTTTAGTTGATCAAGTCTTTTCCCAAGGAGTATGGTCTAACAAGTCAAATACTGCTACATGTACACTGAAATTTAATAATTGAGTGACTGGATAGCGTATGGTGGGAGCTAGGTTTCTCACTGTTGGGGTGAAAATTAACATACAAGCCAGGTGAGGAGGCTAGAATGATCCATGTGGTAATGAATTAGAATATAGTATGAACTCACATTTACCTTAATATAGATTAGATGGTTACATGAGAAATATTTCTAAATGTGTATATATGCATGGATTACTATTCATGTTATTTCTTTGCTCTGCCAGCTGAGAGGATTTAAAAGACATTCCTAGCAATAGCACACCTGCCCGTGGGCAGTTATATGCCCCCAATATGAGGGCAGGGTATTTCTGTAAATTGGGAGGTAGCAGCAGAGAGCTGCTGGGCGGGAGACAGGAAGGGCAGGGAAGCAGCAGGGACACCACAGAAACAGAGGAAAACGCTGGAGGGTCGGGAAGAGGGTTCAATAACTGCCTATCAGCAACGCTGCTGATGCTCTAAAAACAGAAAAAAGCCACCAGGAGCCAGCCCACTGGCTTGAAGCGGAAGTGCTAGACAACTGGGATAGAAAGTAAAAAACCTCCAGGCAGACTTTTCTAAGCTGACCTTGGGCACATTTACTTTTCCCATCGGCTTGTGTTCCAAAGGCGCCAGGACCCACAGAATTTAACCTGGGAAGGGCTCTACATGAAAGCCCGCTCCCGTGGCTTTGGTGGGGTGTCTAAGAGTGCTGAGAATGGGCCAGTGTGCTAAGAGGAATGAAGTGCATTATGAGCTGAGCACCAGGAGCCTTAGAAGTCAGTGGCGGGGTGTGGTCACTGGAGGCCACAGAAGTTGGTCCCTTCATAGGCCAGAAAAGGACTTTCTGGAAGGGTCTGGGTACACTCCTTCAGAGGCTCCTCTGGCTTCACTATTGACCCCAGACCCCAGAGACATTACTGTTAGGGGAAGCACACTGATTGAAACCGCCCACCCTGGCCAGGCACCATAGTAACCATTTGCATGAGTTGTTTTATGACAGGAGATCCTGATAAGGAATTCGGAACTAGTAAATCACCACCAGCCAGAAGAGTTTGGGAAAGGTCGAGAGACACTGCCTGTCCGTCCACTTCCCAGAATCCCTCTTGCTAGCATCCATCTTGGCTGAGCAATGCGTGCACCACCGGGAGAGACTCTGAATTAGAATGATTGGCCAAAGACCACCCGGAAACTAATCCCATCACCATAAAACCCGAGACTGTGAGCCACATGGCAGAGCAGTTCTCCTGGGTTCCCTTACCTACTGCTCTCCACCTGGGTGCCCTTTCCCAATAAAATCTCTTGCTTTGTCAGCACATGTGTCTCCTCCGACAATTCATTTCCGAGTGTTAGACAAGAGCCCAGTTTTGTGCCCTGGAAGGGGTCCCCCTTTCTGCAACATTACCAGCCCAGGAACTAGGAAATGGGAAGGTGGGACGCACAAACCAGGTGGCTCCTGGCATTGAACACCAGGGAGTCAGGAAGCATGGAGCAAGCAGATGTAATCAAGTTCCAGAGCAGGAGCCTCGATTTGGTTTCTGAACCCAACTCTGCCATTCTCTGCTTTAAGAGTCAGTCAGCCTCTGTGAGCCTTGGTTTCCTCATCTTTATAAATGAGTCACCCAGGTTCTTCCCATGGTGATCAGGGAACAGAATGAGGTCATGTATGTGCATATAATTGGCAAACAAGCAAATCTCAACCAGCGGTTCTCAAGGCGTCCTCTGAGGACACCTGGGGTGGGGAGGTGGCAACCTGAGACCCTGTGAAAGGGTCTTCGAGGTCTTCCCTTCTCCAACTGGCTTCTGCATGAGCCTGGATATTTCTCGGTAAACTTTCTCCAAGACAGGTGCTATGCGACTCCAACTGTTCTTAATTAAACTGAAGAGATTTTTTAAAATATGCAACCACGCCACTATTCTTTTTTTAAATATTTTTCATTAAAGATGCAATCTGCGTTCAATTTAAATGGATTTGTGATTTTTAAATGACTAAACTTTTAAATTCCTCATGCCGTTAAAAAAAATCAACAGATAAAAGCAAAAACTCTTCGGGGTCTTCAATAATTTCTCAGCGTGTAAAAGGGTCCTGAGACCGAACAGTTCGGGAACAGCTGCGTGAACCACCAGGTGGGGGCGAGCCGCCTCTCAGAGGCCGGCTTCCGGCCCTACGTTCAGGGCTTCCCTGTGTGGGGCCGCGAGTTTTGTTCTCTGGGTTTGAGAGGTCGGACGTTTGTACCCATTTTCCGGACTCAGGCAACGGCCCTCCCCCACTGACGCACGGACGTTGTGGGGGGTGGGGGCGACCCCCGCGGGGCGTTGGCGACCTTGGCAGAGGTCGAGCACGCGCGCTAGGGAGGCTCAGGGCGCTCGGGGCCCGCGGGGCTTCCCGCCAAGGGCAGAGGAGGCCGCGCCTGCGCAGCGCGGAGCCGAACGCCGACCACAGTGAGCACGGCCGAGCGGCGGGGGAGTGGGGACCTGCACTCACAGCCTAGGCAGCGCCGCCGCCGCCGCCGCCGTCGCTCCTCGCGCCGCCCTCCTCAGCAGACGCTGCGCCATCTTCCCAACGCGCGCGCCCCGCCCTCGCCCTGTCCGTCTCCACTTCGTCCCACCCCTCTCCACGCCCCGCCCACTCCCGAGCAAGCCACGCCCCCGCGCTCTGCGCACCTGCCCTCGGGCTGTCAGAGCTTCCAGGCTGAGTTCAGTTCAGTCTAATCGCTCAGTCGTGTCCGACTCTTTGCGACCCTATGGACTGCAGCACGTCAGACCTTCCTGTCCATCACCAACTCCCGGAGTTTACTCAGACTCCTGTCCATTGAGTCGGTGATGTCATCCAACCATCCCGTCCTCTGTCGTCTCTTCTCCTGCCTTCAATCTTTCCCAGCATCAGGATCTTTTCAAATGAGTCAACTCTTTGCACTGGAGTTTCAGCTTCAACATCAGTCCTTCCAATGAACATTCAGGACTGATCTCCTTTAGGATGGACTGGCTGGATCTCCTTACAGTCCGAGGGACTCTCAAGTCTTCCCTTGTGGCTCAGCTGGTAAAGAATCCGCCTGCAGCGTGGGAGACAGGGGTTCGATTCCTGGGTTGGGAGGATCCCCTGGAGAAGGGAAAGGCTACCCACTCCAGCATTCTGGCCTGGAGAATTCCATGAACTATATAGTCCATGGGGTCGCAAACAATCTGACACGACTGAGCGGCTTTCACTTCACTTCACTTCTGGTTGGATACTAACAGATTCCAGGCTGAAACGCAGGCAAAGTCTAAAGGGGGGTGGGGGGGCTCCTTCTTGAGCGGGTCTTTGGGTGACTGAATCCAACCCTCCCCATGCTTCTGGGTTTTTAGGGTGGCTTTTGAGAGACCTTGCATATTCCCAGCCCAATGTAGCCAAATTTTCAAGGGATTTCTTTGTTGATTTTGTTTAAATACTACCTAACAAAGTTTGTGAGCCTCACCCTGTGTGTGCTTCAGTTAACAGTTAATCTTTTATGGGGCATTTATGCCTGTAATAGGGTCAGAATAGCTACTGCTGGCAGTTTTCTGGGCCAGGGAAATGCTTGTTTAAGACACCCAGCGGCACACACCACCCTTTGCTCCGACTCCTTCCTGCTAGATAGCAAATACAACTCTAGCTTCACAATCAGGAGAGTATGAAGGTATTAAACGGCTTACCAGCTGTGTGACTTTGGGCAAATTACTTAAGCTCTCCCTGCTTCAGTTTCCTCCTGTAAAAAGGAAATACAAATAGTACTCACCTCATAGGCTTATTATAAGGTATTATAAGGATATGTTGCCTTAATGTATATAAAGAGCTTAAAACCTCTCCTGGCTCAGAGCACATGCTCAGTAATGTTAACTACTTATTATTATTATCATCATCACACCAATTCCTTTCCTAAAACACCTTAGTGACATCTGATGAGAAGTGTTAAAAAACAAATGAAGGCCCACCTTGAAAATTCTGAGTAGACAAACACAGTTTCATCATACAATCAAAGCCTAATTTGACTTATTTTGCAAGACAACTTGACCTAGGTTATTTCTTGCTTATGCCTCTGGTAATCACAAGCAAAACTTGAACTACTTCCCGAGGTTGATATGAGGTAACTGCTGCTCAATTCCTAATCATTGAAGAAAAATCTAATACCATAAATATCGTAACTCATCACTTTAAAGAATAAACCATCACTACTTTCTCACTAAATGAGCTGCTCTGTAATAATATATCCCTGAGTCTCATTCCATGCTTTGGTTTGAGTGCCCCCAGTGTGCGAGACGTCTTTTTTGTCTGTCCACAATAAACTTTTACCAATTACTACCTCGGGGATTCGTTGGTTTTACTTCTGTTACTCATCAACTTTTGACAGCGTTTCGAATAAAACCCCAGTTCTTCACCATGACTCTGAAGCCTGTACTCTAATTTGCCCCTTCCTGTCTCTTCAACTTTGTCTCAGCCCCACCTATATTCTTTCTGTGGGTTTTTTGGGGGGGAGGAGGGATTTGGGTTTTTTTTTGGGGGGGGGGGCGTCAAGCCCCAGGGCATGTAGGGACCTAGTTCCCTGACTAGGGATGGAACCTGCATCCCATGCTTTGGAAGCTTGCAGTCTTAATCACGGGACCACCAGGGAAGTTTTTTGTTTTTTTAGCATAATAATCTCTCTCCCACTTCAGGGCACATGCTGTTTCTTTTCCCCAGAACTCTTATGGCTAGACTGTCACATCCTCTCGGACATTTACCCCACCTGCCACCTGCTCAAAGAGCCTGCCTGAGCCGACATCCCACACTAGAGCATCCTCCTGGTCTGTTTCCCTGGCACAGCCACCTGATTGTCTCCATCATAGCCCTCGTCACAATGTTTCTTTACCAACTTGTGAATTTACTTTCTTACTGTTGCCTTTCCTCCTGTGGTTCTCAAGGTGGAGGGGGTATGCCCATAATCGGGTGGGTTTTGGAGTGTGTGGTTGTCATTTAGAGAGTAGGGCTAGGAGATATTTAGACTTTCCCACCCATAGAAAGGCTGCTAGTGCTCTCCTCTAGAAACACTGTATATAGAAATAGAATGTGACCTCTTTGAGAGCAGGGACCCAGTGTATCTTGTCATTGCTGTGTGCCTCCAGCACGAGGCCTTAGTGACTTGCCACCTGTAGGTATTTAATAAATATAAGATGAAAATATTCCTCTAGCCTCATTATAATTCTGAGAACTGCCATGTGAGTTGTTATCCTTACTAAAAATGCCCCGGACCTTATGAATTTTTTAGGTAAAATACAACCTCCAATGAATTTTTTGCTGATTCCAATTTCTTTCAAATTCTGCTTGAAGAAATTATATTTATGCCCATTATAACCAGGACTACTGTGGTTTTATTGAACCTCTTGTGAGATTACTAACTTATTGTGTGTTTTAAGGATTGTTTCCTAATGTTGGTAGACTTTATCAACTTCATCTACCTAGTATATGGATTCCTGGAGGAAACTATTTTTCCAGATATAATAGAGAAAGGGGTCTAGTTCTTTTCCTGGAGCTAGTCAAATCTGTTTTTACTCAAGCCTCCAAAACTGAAAGAAAAATAAAATTGTGTTTGCTCCAAGGGCACTAAAACTATGAAATTTAGCAGGTTGAATAATTCTGTGAGACCTTGTGGAGTTAAGCAGTCTGGTGAGATAAGAAGAAAGGCTAACAGAAGCATCACACCTCCAGAGCACAATGGGCTTACAGGTGATGAGGGTGGGTACCAGAATAACCAATCAACGATGATCACTGTTGAAGCCAAGAAATGGGTACATGGGTGGGAGTGGGGTTTATTATGTGTTCCTCAATTTACATATGTGTAAAAATATTCTTAACAAAAAATTAAAATAAAAATCAATTCAAATAATGCCTTGCATAGAAAGAGCCAGATGCAAATTTATCCAAAGCCAGTTAAGCCTCAGGGCCGCTGACTTGCACTGGTTCCCTCCAAGTTCCCATCAGGGCACAAGGGCATTTGTTTTGTAAACTGTACCAACTTAAGATATTTTAACTACCATTGGTTAAGACACTTTCTTCACCTACTCCAACTGTTCCTCTCTCAGGAACAGTTCCTTCCAACTGTTCCTCATCCTTGGTGTTGGATGGCGTTGGAATGGCTCCATGTATTTTGGGAGTCCAGCTAAGGAGAAACTGATTTGGGACATATTTGGCTTAGATTTAATAGAATACGTTTGTGTGATTTGCAGTCACTTCCATGTTTAATTATGAACAGTTCTGGTTTAAGAATGACTTTCAGGAATTCTGCTACCCACTGTACTGACTCCTGTGCATAAAGATGCAAAGGTCAGAGGTCATATCCCAATAAGAATGTGCCCCTTGGGCACCTGGCCCCAGCAGTGTGTGCGTAGTAAAAGAGAAGCAGAATTTGGAGGGCATGGAGCCAGAGACCATCAGTGGAAAATTCTTCCAGTCATCAGAAATGTAAAATTGTTGAGAGAGGGTTTGGTCCTTACCTCTATCTGGCCAACGTGGAAGCTCTAGCATCGTGTTGGCTCAGCTTGGCTGGGACCGCTTCTCCCAGAGTTTCCTTGCCTGTGGGATACCTGGTTGGGGTTGTTCACAAGAGACATTTGCATGAGCTCTGGAAGGTGGAGGGGAAGCAGCAGGTCCTGTGGTCTCACTGTTGACACGGGGCAGTCAGTGTTTACTTCCTCTCTTTTGAGATTATCTACTTTCACTTTGGCCCACATCCACTATGGAGTACAAGTGGTAAAGCAGCTGAGCAACCATCTTCACATTTACCCCTCCTCATTGAGAAAACCAAATTCAGATTGACTAGGAGTGGAAGAAAAGAATGTTGGCCTGTAATCTACAGAAAGAAGTACTGTAAATAAGATGCTTGTAAATATTCATCCATCACCGTTGAACTAAACTGATCCGCTTAACAGACATGGGAACTCCGTGTGTATGTGGTACTTGGACAGCAGGAATGATACATATCTGAACTTGTGGAATATTGGACCTATTAACTGCCAGCTTACTTTTTTATAAAACCATGTGTTGTTTTGGTTAAACGTAATAGCCCAGCAAAATGTTCCTTGTAGTTTAGGAGTCCAGAATGTTTTGGTTCATACAGAGTTAAAGATGCTTGGCTTTATTTTTTAAACCCTCATATTTGTTTAGGAACACTGATAACGTTCAGAGTACCCAATATGTTTTCATATTTGGTACTTAGTAGTAAGTCTTTGGGAGAAGGAAACGGCAACCCACTCCAGTATTCTTGCCTGGAGAATCCCAGGGACGGGGGAGCCTGGTGGGCTGCTGTCTATGGGGTCGCACAGAGTCGGACACGACTGGAGCGACTTAGCAGCAGCAGATTCCTGAGTGTTCATTGGAAGCAGTGATGTTGAAGCTGAAACTCCAACACTTTAGCCACCTGATGCGAAGAACTGACTCATTTGAAAAGACCCTGATGCTGGGAAAGATTGAAGGCGGGAGGAGAAGGGATGACAGAGGATGAGATGGTTGGATGGCATCACCAACTCAATGGACATGAGTTTGGGTGGACTCCGTAAGCTGGTGA